GCAAGCCTCGTAGAAAACACAAATAAATGCCAACTGAGCATGGGAAGGTGGAAATGGTACTTAACATTCGCCTACGTGGGTGCCTATGATGTCCCTCGTTTCTGGCGCTTATCTGAGTTTTCACGTCGCACGCGTGGAGGGAACCTGACCCTCCTGTTCCCCTGTGAACTGATGGCTTGTTCCAGCTTCTGTCGGGCGGACTCCAGCCTCGCGGGCATGTCCAACTCAACAATCGAGCTCAATCCGGCATCAATCTCGGTGGACAAACTTCTGTAACAATCGCTGAGGGCTTTGGAGGCTTCCTTGACTAACCCACGTAGCGCCCTGCGCTTCTGCCACTGCGTACGCCATGTTGTCAGGGCCTCTGAGTTGGCTTTGTCCATCATTGGGAAGTTATATCTATTTTCATCGGTTTGTCCCAAGGCAAAATTCAACTCTGCGCCCTCCGAGTGCACTCGCATAACGAGGCTCTCGTGAAGAGACAGTTGGGTAGTATCAGTGTGTTCGTTGGTAGTTCTTTGCTGCTCCGAGAGGATCCGGAAATCACGGATGATATCCTCGAGCTGATGTAAGCGTTCCCGAATATAGGGGTGCCACGCTTCCACATCTCCCGAATCAAGATCTAGAGCAGACTGTATGTTCCGTTAGTTTTAGCGTTGTCGCTCAGTCTGTAGATTGGCTTACTGGTGGTCTTAAACAACATTCAAAGTCGTCATCGCCGCCGGTCTCTCTCGGCACGGCCGCTTTTCGGGCCCGCGTGCCGGGCTCCGTGTCAATGTCAAAGAAGCGAAAGTCCGTATCATCCATTCCGTCGTACATCTCGTGATCTTCAGCCTCGTAACATGCAATCTCTTCGTGACCTGGGGTTGGATCTGGCCGTTGGCGCTTTGCCACAGAAGCCGCACTGGAGGTTAACATCATGGGGAGTATAGGGCAACGGTGAGAATAATATGGTCAAGAAGCCACGAGTAACTTCGCCCGGAAAGAAGTTTGATCCATCGATAGGACTTTGAACTAGCAGCATTGTGGAACGGACTTGTCCCTCTTCACCGGCACTCTTTGTTGAACTGATTTTCCCACGCGACCGTAGAGAGCGGGGCGGGGCTTTGCTTCTGGGCACCACGAATGATTGATCTGTTGGTGCAAAGCGCAGGACACTACGCATCTCGCACCAACACACCAATCGGATGAAGTCTTTTTGATTTAAAGGCCCGCAGCATACGCGTTGGGACTGCTGCAGGCTCGGCAAGCTCAAACTGGCCAGCAACATCTTTCAGGCTGCGGGCCAAGACAATAATTAGAAAAATGACCACATCTGTGTAACCCATGCCACCTGGCCTGGTTCCCCTTACATTTGTGACCAGTCTGTCAAGCTGCAGCGAGCAGCCTGGTCGAGTCTGAGTACAGGCCACCAATGGTGGTTTTGCGACGGTGGTAGGCGACGGTGGGCTGTGTTGATGAGTTGAAGTCAGCAGCAGGACACTGACTTCGAAAGGTGTGTACGGCTGCAGGATAGCGGGAGCAGCCTGAACAAATTGCAGAGCGGGGTTTTTGTGCCTACACCCCAGGATCCCCTGGCCTTTGAGCAGATCCTTGGCAGGCTGATGTCAGAGTTCGGAGTTTCCCTTGTGAAATTCAGACGTTCTTCGGCTTCCCGAAAACCGGCAGCAGATGCCTATGGACGATCTGGCCCTTTCTCCTGCTGCAGCAATCTGTTTCAAGCCCGCTGAAGTGACAAGTCAGCCCAAGCCAAAAAGTTGAAACAAAGTGGTCGAACGAGTTATACATAGATAGCGCAAAGATTAAAATAAGTGCCACGGAACACCGCATCGGCCTTCTATATCACCAATTCCACGATTCATGACCTAATTGGTACGAAAAGAGGGCCTGATCCCAATCATCACGCCCAGAATCTATCGGGCTGGGTCGCTTTTGCCAGTCAACAAGCTGGGACGGAGAAGATCATAGAAAGAATAACTATTGATTGCTCGCGTAGTTATGCAACACCTCAACTCTTCGGATGCTGCTTTTTTGAAAGAGCATCAGCCTAATCCATCCCCCCGCTGTACACTCTGGCACGTACGAAAGTAACTATCGTTTTCTCTTACATGCTCTCATATCTCTACTCAAGTTCACTGTACTTAAACTAAAAGAGACTGTTGGGATGGCGAGATATTGTTTCATTCACGTCCTTGACATGCCTTTGCTCGGGCAGAAGGGTATCGCGACATTGCCAATGTAGAGCAAATGGAGGAGCGTTAAGCATTGGAAGTCCATCGTGGCACGAAAGCACGGGCAGAGCATGGCAAGACGCGTTCCAAATGATTTAATTACTAGTTGTGCGGATGACAGTGCTGTCCTCTTAGATTTAGCAGAGCGCAAGACGGCTAGTAATGCCAGGAGACCACCTGCGGCAACAAGAGCTGATCAATCGCGCTGCATGAGCTGCAGAAGACTGATTTGTGGCCGAGGGACTTGGTCAGCAGTCGGTGTCATTGTGATCTCTGCCTCCGCACCTGGACATGGTGCGACATGTCAAGGTGGTCTGCCGGTTATGTTGACATGCCGCCCCTTGACCCATTGTACAATGAGACGCACACATTTGGCACTCCACACGGCGTGTGTCTTGATCGCTGAAGACATCGTCCACGCCCAAGAAGTAGCCATTGTCATCCTCATCATCTTCAAAAGAGACGATTGGGCGAGCAACTTTTAGTTGGTGGCTCCTACTGCTGATAGCTTTGGAATGGCTCTTTTCTAAGCTTCAGCGGGGGTTCTGGTCTAGGACAAAGTTCAGCTGGGAAGGCCATAATGCTGAATCCAGACAACAGGGTGATACAATCAAGGAGACGTACTTTGCCATCCTGAAACGCGAGTTTTGGTGTGGGATTACACTTCTTGCCAGTCAGAGCTCGCAGTCACCATTCTTCTTGCAGTGACGGAGGACTGTCGAGGAATCGGGTTGTTCACTAGCAGCCGGGAATGGGGATCTTGATCGCTGCGAACACCATATGCTGCTGCTGTGCTTGCTCATCCACCAGACGCGCGAAGTAATGAGCGTCATGCACGGAGGTGGCTTTCTGTTGATTGACTCGCCGGGGCGGTCTTCCGTTGCGTTATCATCACACTCCAGCTTCAGACCAACCTCTCGCTTGATGGCTTGCTCATTCCATTTCGAAGGGCCGCATCGAGACGGCTAAAACGACGGAGTAGACTGCAAGTTCATCCTTGATGGGCTGGGGAAGAGGCCAGCGGTATTCAAACCTCGACAAATTGGTTTGCCGCGGCTGGCGGATGGAACTTTCTGAAAGGTGCCGCGGCGGTTGAGATGTTGGCGTTCGTTGTCGGAAGGGGGCCACTAGTCAAGAGAAGGGTAGGAGGAAGGCGTATGTGGGTAGACGTAGGAAGTTGCAGCGGCTAGAGCCTCGGCCCTTCCGTTCATATTTCAGGCAGCCCATCCAGTTTCTCGTGGTTGCCGCTGGACGGGGTCAACATCGGCTGCCTCTTGCTTTGAAACTTTTTCACTACAAACTGGCTGACGCAGCGCTTGGTCACTTCTTTCTTGTTTGTTTACCGCATCGTCGTCGTCGTCGCCTCGTCACCATCCCAATCGCAACCTGACAGCACGACTACATCCCAGCAAAATCTCTGTCGTCGCACCATCGACAATCCATCGCATTCTCACCCCTTTCAATTAACGGATTGCAACAAAGTCATCCCTACATCATCGCATTCACATTGACTTCGATCACCGTTGAGGACAGTGACGCACCGTTTCACAGCCACGACTGGTTGGGGCGCTTGACATCCCTACGACACGTGTCTTTCGAGTGCGAGATCGAACCAAGCATACGGCCGAGCGTGTACAGTCAGCCGATGCCAGAAGTGGGCAGACCGTTGGCAAAAGTCCTGGCAAGGCGTGGCTGAATCCGCGGCCGGCGCGTCCCAGGAAGGTAGACACATCCGTCACGACTTCTTCCCTTGAGAAGCACTGGGGCACGGGGCGTCAGGTGCCTGCATCTCCAAGGCCCGCCTGACATTCTCCAGCACAAGCCGGGCAGTTGCTCTTGCTTTCCAAGTTACCGCGAAACCTTCCAACCGCAAGACCACGACAACAGCTCCTCCCACTTCGGAAGCAGGGAAGCGACACTGAAATCATCGGACGTCGGTTTTTCGCACTTCGCCAACGAGACAGGACAAGATGCCGACTTCACCACCTTCCGTCGGCAGTGAGTCGGGCGAAGTCGCGTATTTCAAATCACTCAATCCCCACGGCCAGCACTGTTTTCTTGTGTCAAAGATGGAGCAGCTTCTTGCACTTCGGACACACATGAAAACGCAATTCGACGAACTCAGCCGCAATCTCATCAACACCGTTATGGTCCAGGCTAACAATGTCGTTCTGCATCATGATTCCAAGGTTAATGGAGGAGGTGCCGCGAAGCCATGAGCGTTGGTCCCATGGATGGCTTACATGGTGCCTGGAGGTCCTTGGCTGCTTGGGGTGCGGGGATCGTGGAGAAGTAATTTGAGGGTCATGGATCTGCCTTTCTGCCCAAGAACTGGGGAATTCGTGGTGCAGTAGATAGTGCTTTAAATCATAAGAAGAGAATCACATACATGGAACTAGCCTGTTGGAATGACACCGTGAATTAGTTGGAGAGCGCAAATGGGCAGCAATCATCTCAGGGTTCGCAGGTGTTTTGGACGGCAGTTGAGGCATGGTATTGGTGCAGGTGAGAACGTCCAGCATTCTTTCTAAATGCAGCTCCCTCCGTCACCAGCAACGAATGATACCACGTCTGTTGCCCCCGAACTCCCATTCAGCTGTTCGTCGGACAACCTCCCCGTTTGAAAATCTGCTCTTTTCCTCGTGTTAGTTGTTCGTTTTTCGAAAACTTCTCAAATTTCAGGAGCCTTCCTTTGCCATTGTGCAGTTCTCTACCATTGTCGCCTGTGCTTAGCATTCACACCAAGCGTGTCACCATTGCTCCTCAACCATGTCTAGCAGCAGAAACCCCGTCATTGTAAGCATCCGCCGGGATGCTAAGGTAGACCAGTCTCTCCGCGAGCTCAATGAGACCTGGAACCAAGCTCAAGTCCCCGAGGCCGACCTCACTAGCGGCTGGAACCAGCTACATCAGGATTGGTGGACAGCTGCTCTCGCCGTGCATACATCCGGCCAGCACACCAGCGCTCGGCACCATGTCCTCGACTGGCCCGCCTTCATCCGCGAGCACCTCTCCGCCGCCGATCTTGTCACCTACCTCGGCCGGATCTTTCGCATCGCCCATGACGCCGCCAAGCACAAGCCCGAGTCCGCCAGCCGCCTGCGGAACGCCGACCTCGCCCTCGGCCTCACCGACAACATTGAGCTGCACCTTGAGCTCGACCAGGAAAATTGCACCAGCACCGGCACCCTCAAAGCCCTCTCCTCCCTCCGGCGCTCCACCGCCCACGAGGCCGTCGACCCAGAGGACCGCCGCACCGAGATCCGCGACCGCATGCTCGCGCGTGTGTTTGGCTCCCCCGGCCCCTATGTCGTCACCCCGATGCCGACCCTCCGCGACGTCAACCAGGCCATCACCGCCCTCCGCGTCAAGGCCGTCCCACGAGCCGCTCCCAAGTCCAAGAAGCGCAAGGCCGCATCAGATGACGCCGGCAATGACAGCATCGAAGTCTCTCGGAGGTCCAGCAAGCGTCCGCGGACGGAGGTTCCCGAGGAGGACCTGGAGGAGATGGGCCAATCCTTCCTAGAGAGCATCCGTGAAGATGGGCGCCCAAGCCTGCTTTCGCGTTTCCTCGACGAGGAAATCATGACCAACGGCGACATATTCGCCTACGCGCCGCCAGAGGCTTCAGCCCTGCCAGACCTCGAGCCCGATGCCACCGAGGACCAACTCCAAGCGCACGCAGCACAGACAGACCGGGACAAGGAGGCGCAGGATGACGCGGTAATGAAGGAGCAGCTTGAGCTGTGCAGTCGACTCGTGCAGATGGGAACGCCTGGCGAAGGAGCTGCTGGTGATCCGTTAGTTCACGGTCTGCTGCAGGCTTTGAATATGTCGGCCAAGAATCTGCTTTGCGTTGCCCGTGACAAGCATACTACCGCACATCTTGAGTCACGCAAGAGGAAGAGGGAGGAGGAGGAGGAGCAGCTGGATCTGGACGAGTAGAGTTAAGAGCTTGCGGTCCGAGGTTTGGGGCTTGTGAAGTGATGAAGTATGCTAATGAGGGTGATTCAGTTTTATGTTTCAAAGAAAAGGAACCATTCGTTCGAGTTGCACATGCAAATATCAGTCCATTATAGTGAGATCATTTCGGCCGTGCTGTTTGTGAGGGGCAAGGCTGATATACCAAGTAATAATTTACGATCCTCATGACTTGACGACTGATAATATCTTACTCTGTACCAGGAACAGCGCAAGTACATTATCCATTTTGCGTTCCTAGGCGCAGAGTTATTGTCTGGGAATCAGAAAACTTTTGTCATTCCCAATGCCATCCTTCAGCTTCGCAAAAATTCCATACCCTTGATTTACTCTACCTTCCCCTTAGCGTCGGCGTCGGTGGGGCCGGGCGGAGCCGGATCTTCGGAATCGGTGCTGGTGCATTGCATTGCCTTGAGAGCCGGCGCGCTTGATCCCCGTATATTGGCCTCTGCTGGAATTAGTGACATCAACCCTCGGGCTTTGTGCACGACTTGGACGATGCAACGAACTAGATTGACCACCATCGATGCATCCACGTTGCAAATCACTTCTGTATGGGCGATAGCATATGTGAGTGCGGCAAATGCACCGACTGCTTTTCTTTCGGAAATGCCAGCAGTTGGTGCGATAACATGCAGTGCGTTCGAGGGAAAATTTCAGCTGTGAGCCCTCTTGATCCGTTTGATTGTCCACTCAATCGAATTGTGGGGTTCTGGGTCGGAAATCCGCACTTACCAGTCTGGGAACCAAATGGAAACTGGGAACCGATTAAACTGATGGACGGTATTGCAAATGGACCATATTAACACTATCGTGGACACAGATGCCCGCAATACTTGAGTACTAATCGACGATGAAGCAGGGGTGCATCGGGAGGATTAGTATGGAAACAGAGCCAGAAGCCAGGGCAGGCCATCTCGCAAGGTGCCTCGGCGGTGATGAGCTGCCGTTATAATGAGTACTTAGCCGTTGCTTGAATGAACTGCTGCCAAAGGAAATCACTCTTGATTGCCTTTTTCGTTAAAGTCAGATGTAGCAGGGGAAAGTCGTCAACAGCAGACAAATCTTTCATTTTCCCAGCTGACGCTACAAGCTGTCGTTGTGACAAACGAAGCATCCATCTGCTCAATCCCAGTCGCTGCCTTCAGCATGAATTGAAGGTGACAGCACACTCTGCGTCGGGATATGCAGCCGGTTTCCGGTGGATTGTGGGCACATTGACATCGATAAAGATTCCTGCTGGGATTGCTGTGCCGTCTCAAAGCGTCAGGCTGTTGTAAACGATGTGGCCGAATGTCATTTTGAACGAAGGAGTTAAAACGTCACAAGGCAAGAAAAAAGTGATGCGCTGCGACTCCTTCATGAGATAGTCACGCTTGACAAGCTTGTGCAGGCTGGCATTGGAGACCCTGACCTCTTCTCCGACCATGGATTTGACTTCGCTGCGCAGAGTCTTGATGTACTCAGGACGAGGGCAAAGATGACAGAGAAGATGCGTACGAAGAGTCGCACTGGTCTGCATGACTGCAAGGCTTATCCCCAAGGCTCTGTGCACGAGGAAGTTGGGTGTCTTATGCGTGGTATTAGCACCATTTGAAGCAGTTTGAATGGCATCCTCTCGTTGCCCGGAAGCAGCATGCGCTCCATCAGCGGAATGATGACGCGACGGGCTACTTAGGCATGATGTCCGACACAGGCGTTGCAGGAATGCAAAAGCTGGCCAAGGAGCGACAGGTGACCGGGAATTGTTTCACTCGGCGCGCTGCTAGCCAGGTATCTGTGGTGAAGTTGATGAACGTTGTGGTCCAATCGACGTTGCGGCTCGGTTCAATACCGCCCAACGTGCAGCTTAAGGCGCGCGATATGATGTCAGTCAAAATTCTCGCCAAGGGAAACCATCTATAATCTTGCGTTTATGTCGTCATCTGGCAGTTGGCCCTCGACATGCCGGAGAAATATGAAGGGAGTTGGTTTTACAGTCAGGCCCACGTTATCGACGAATACTTGTGTGACGGAATTGACGTAGGGAGTGCTTGGCTTATTGCATCTCCAACCTCCGGCACAGACGTAGATCATTCACCACGAGTAAGCGGAGCTCAACAACGAATGTGACGTGCTTTGAGAGTATGAGAGTTGAGAACCTGCCTGACCATGCTGGGATGAAGATGATACCTTTGCCCGATCGTGGTGTGAAAGTCTTCAGATATCTTGGCCTATACTTCTTTTCAGATATCGTCATCAGGCAACAGCCGTATGATTCGCTCCATCAAGTGAAGCCTGCCACATTTTCTGAAGAATTCTCTTTTATTTCATCAGCGCACCCGGACGATATCACTCATTATTCGCCGCTCTGGGAAAGTGACGGGGTCCGAGAGCTCCTTGAGCATCTCCTTCATCGCCTAACCTGTCCATCTGGTCGACATGAGCATGTGAATGATACGACCTATGTCGAGTTCAGGTTGATAGTGTCACCGCTCGCGAGGTCTTCCTAGTGGTTTGGTGACTACGCTGGTGAGCCGTTCGGGAGGTGTGACAAGGCGGTTGTGATGCGCTCGATGGACATCCGAATGGTCTAATATAGAGGCTTTCTTTACAGCTAGGCTTTAGAACAGGCGATAGATGCTGTATGCTGCGTAATTCGGGCAGCTTGACAGATAGTGCACGGAGGCTCGCCACAGGCAAATTGTCGTATACAATGTGGGTAGCGCGTAAAGGTCTTCAGGCTTGGCGGCTCTTCGGCCCTTTAGCAGAGAGGGTTCGCACCCAGGACCATTGCCCTGGCAATTGAAAGAAAGATCATAAGGGCTGATTGCACTGCCCGGACAGCAGAACCGTCCTCGAACACGTCAAAGGACTCGACGGCGTTGATACCTTAGTTGATGACGGCTTGAGGCGCTTAGATTGTGCTGTTCCGGGCGGCACCAAGGGTGAAGGTTTTCATGGTGAAGCATACGATGATGATGAACTTATTTCGGCTACCCTTGAGGGCCCATCACAAGTCGGTGTCCTTCTGCACGCCGGGCTCGACATGATAATTAATCGTGACGACGACCTGGAGTGACACGACAATCTAAACAAACCAGACGATACGCAAGCCGAAGTAGTTAATACCACCGCCAGTCAGTAGACGATGGACATCGACGGGGCGAAAACGGCCGACAGGGACGGAGAGGCCTTGCGCAAAGCTTCCTATAGACTTCAAGCTAGTACAGGACTAACCCAATGACGGTTGCGGAACTCGTAAGACAGAGACTTGGCGTTTAGACGCTTGGTAGGGATGATTAAACCGAGGTGGTAAGTGTTGGCAGCTCGAGTGATGGGCATGTGCCCCTTGATGCGCACGGCGGACTGAGTCTAGGTGGTTTGTACCAACTCGACGGTGTGCGTGATCTCTGCGTCAAGCTCGGGTCCCCAGACGCGACCAAGAGTGGAGACGCACCTCCAAGAGCAGTCTACTGCGCATCTGTGAGCTTTCATCAATCGTGCTTGAGGTGTGCAGTTCAAGGGTACGTCATGTAATATTTGCAAACGGACTTGCTCGAATGTCCTTGCCAGCTTTAGAAAGCCAGCTGGGGTAGGACCTCTCCGAACTGGGCGCATGCATTCACGTTTCCGCTTTTGCCTACTTATTCAAGCACATTCTCAATGCTCTCCATAAGTCAATACCAACACAAATAACTCATACAATGCTATAACTTTGTAAGCATACTTGCTTCATACTTGTCAGCTTACTATGAGATCGTAACGCCGTCTCATCTAGCACAATAACTCTAGATATCGTCTCTATAAGGCCTTTCATATCATCCTGCCTTTGAAAATTCGATATCAGCAAGTTGAAGAGAAAATAAGGCTTGGCTGGAAATCCTCTTATGGAGAGGTTCCCAATGGAGTGGGGACCGAAGATAAAATGCTGCGCTTCAAATAAGACAAGCCTGGGTTATGACTGTGGCGCATACATCCAATGACCTTAAGACAACAGCCAGCAATTCCCATACTAAGATGCGAAAGGCTGACACCCGTAGGCTGAGAAGCGACTGCATCAGAACGCCTCCCGCTTCCATTTTCTCCTACAACACATCATGTTGAGGAAATTTCGAGCCCATACAGTAGGGGTTTTCACAGTAGGGGAAACAGCAGTAAAAGCATCTCCGTCAGTGCCCAGTCCAGTAGCTTCGCAACCTAAGGGTCCAGAATCACTGCCCGCGCCGACCTCGACTCGCCATACTATTGTGGCTGTCAGCCTCGTTGACGATGGCTTCGTTGCCGGCAAGGTCGACAGTCTCGCCCGCGTGACTCACGCTGCGACCGAGACACGTACCAGACCGACAACACATCATAACTGGTCATCTTTAGGCAGGATGAGCCGTCGTTGAATAACTCACAGTTGTGGAAAGATGTCCATCAGCTGCCCGGAATTCAAGGAACCTTCAACGGAGGGAACTCTGCCGACGAGGTCCGCTTCATCGTTAGCCAGGGGAACAGAAAGCGATGAGGACAAGCTCATGCCAGACACCTCCTTTGGCAGATTCCCCAGGCAGCAGGAAAACAGATGCTGTGGAACAATTTATCGACCAGATCGGGAAACTTGGTCCAATACCCCCAAAGCCTGGAATGGCTCTTTGGATGCAGCTTCGTGACTTTTGACTTCCTTCGCGGGCTTTATTGCTGACCGTTCTACAAAGATATTTGCGTGTCAACATGCACTGATACGTCTACGTGCTAAGGAGCATGGGGAATTCATCCTCAATCTGATCAAAAAAGCCGCTTAAAGGATCCGACCCTCCTTTCCTTTGTTCATTTCCAAGCTAAATTCACAACTAACTCTAAGGGAGACGTGGGCGATAGCGTGGACTTCAAAAGCTTACCCCTGGGTCAGAATGAGGCCGCGGGCATTTCTGATATCCTGCTGTCTTCCCACGCTTCAGACTTTGTGTACGTCCTACAGCTCGCTCGGATGCTCCCTCGCGCAGAGGATTCAACGACTACTTTGGATAATTGGATGGTCGACGTCTGGACTGAAAGCCTCCACGGCTGTGCCTTGAGGAGCTGCGGAACCTGCTACAGCTTTCACTGGCTTTCACTTTGTGGTTCGCCCCGGGGGGCAAGCTGTTGTGAGCGGCAGCGACATTTGATGTTCAGCTGGACGTGGTGATTCTGAAGAATTCGCTGATGTGTCCCCCGTGGACCACTGTCGCGACCAATCTCTTTGCACCCAGCGTTAATCCCAAGAGCTATGATAACCCATAGAGGTCCACCCCTGATGATGCATCCCAATGTCACCGGCCGATGAGATCGCAATTACCCAGCTTTTCGTCTCTTAAAATGTGATCGTGCCCTGTGAAAGGGTATGATGAGCCCCCTTCGTTATTCTTTGTGTGACGTCCGGGAGGTACTTGCTACATACAGACATGCCTGCCTGCAGATGCGACTGATAATCTCCAAGATGCTTTCCAAATACGGTCGATTCTGACAACAAACAATGTGGATAGACACCGCGATATGTAGATACGACTGCTGTGGAAGAGGCGTGTGTTGATAGTTCAGCTCACTAGTATTTGGTGAGAACAGGTCCGTCCTTCAGCCATCAAATTAAGCCCGGACTCCGGACTTAACGAAGCGGCGTCTACAGCATTGCAATACATTATTAGACCAGAGGTTCATGAGGAAGTCAAACATAAAACAGCCCGAGCCACTTATATCAATCATCCGCTGCGTAGAAATCGGCAGCATTTATCCAGGTCCCTCAGCATTACTTGGCTTAACGCTTCGGTAGTACTTGTCCACACCGGCAGCACGTTTGTGACGTTTCCATCTCCACGAGAAAGGTGATTCATGCCCAATAAGAGAATGGCAGCAGAGTTGGATAACGCGACAAGGTATTGTTGCGTTGGCGATCGACGGCTGATTCCAGCACGCGCCAGAATCGGCAGGACTTGATAGCAGAGCTGAGCGGCTATTGCAAGGTCCCGCAACAATAAGACCATGCAAGGTCTCTGCCCTAGGCATTGCTGATTAATTGGTGTGCTGAGGCTCAGAAAAGTGCTGCCGGGAAATTGACATTAGTTCTCCGTCCCATCAGCATAAGAAACCTGGCATCGCCACAGTTAGAATCCAGGAATAGGTCCAACCCCAAAATGAAAATACTCCAAAAGCAGCAATTCCCCATCCTCTACAACGCCTTCTTCCAACAGACGCGTCCCAGATCATGCACTACTAAGCGCGCTTTGCGAGGCACCTCCAGATCTCGCCGGGCGGCTTCCCAGATCCCATCTTTTGCTTTTCCATTTCAGCTCATCACACGGGTCCTGATTGGTTCCAGGCGCCAGTCCTACTGCTGCAGGCCCAGGGTGTGGCTCTTCAAGGACCCGGCGGCTCCACGTGTCACGGTACCGCTCGATGCAGACCAGCACACTGGCGGGAGAAGAGCTGCAACTGTGAGCCTTCGAAAGTCGTGCAGGACTCAAAGACTTTGATCAAAACTTGAATATGTCAAGTAGGCACTTTGTTGTTCTGTGTTTCCCAACGTTGACTGCTTCATCCGAGACCATGACCGACACAACATGATCCCATCAATTCCTCCCCGCGACCAGCCGCCAAGTCCTGCCATTCAGGGCCAAAGTCTCCCGGGAATTGATTGCGACGAATGGAAGAACATACCCCAATGCCTGAAACTTCCGTCCGTTTCCGCTAAAGCTTGCTCTGGCTGATGGGAGCGGTGCATCGCGAGTCGCCTCTGCTCCGCGTGGTTTTCCTTGGACCAGGGGCGAGCAGGCACATGACCAATTCCAATTTTGCCAATGCATCGCCTGCTTCATGTACAAATGTGCATGGCAGGCTTCGAAATGCAACTTGTGAATCCGCCATTATCCAACACACCCCCAACAACAGTGAAAGCCATCATGTTTCCAAAGTTGACAGCACCAACCCCGCCTCATGCGTACGACCGTCGACGTGTGCGTAGCTAGAACAGTCACTCACACTGAGGTCCAGGGAACGTAATAAATTTAATTCCGGTCTGATGCGGGTCTGGGCTGATCTTTTGGTCTTGCTGATAGCCATCGGGCACGAAATCGGTGGGTGATGACGATCTGTGCGGGGCTTCGTTGGTGCCACTGCCGCGAGAACTTGAGGGTGTCGGGTGGGTTCCTGCTAACACCATTGCGCGACAGACGCAGTAGCGACGGCAATCAATCCTACGTTAATACCTACCAAGGTCATGACCCGGGTCGAGGCGATGCCTTTCTTTTATTTGTGCTGTTGGACTAGTGCATCTGGCGAGGCCGGGCAGGTCCTGCCGATTTATCAGCAGCACCGAATCGGAAGGACCATCGGACCCAACATGAGGCTCGGGCACCTACCTCGCCGAGACACGACTTCCATGCCATGTGCACCGCACTCCCCCGATCGAGCAGGACCTCCTCCCGAGCCACTTTCAACTCCACGTCTACGCCGCGTTGCTCGATAAGGCGAAGCCATGCGCACCTTCCTCTCTCCTTCTCTTCTCATCGGCACTTCGAACTGCCTTTGGCCGCCCACCTCGGCGTCTCGCCATCCTCCAACGTCACTCCACTCCTGATGTCACCCTCGACGCATCAACATGATCACACCTAAAGACGACGAACAATCTATCCTCTCCGCAATCGATCGTTTTGTCGCTTGCCTCGGCGAGGACAAGGCCGCCGTCGCTACTTGCGTCGACCACTACATTAATCTCGAAACCAACGCAGCCGCTCGCTTCAACATCGTCACTTTGCGCGCGCGACTTCCCGTCGACGCCGTGAGCATCATCGCCACCCACCACAACCCTTCTACGTGGATTCCGTCCAAGACATGCGTACCGAAACTGGCTAAAGCCTCAAGAATCTAGCAAATTCCTGGCTCAGCTTTGGTATTCTATTTGCACACCGTTAATGCAGGACGATACTTTTACGCAGCCCTCCACGACCTCGCCACTCGTTGTCCCAGCTTTGAGGAAGCCAGGTCTTTATTACAAGCACAGGCCGCCATTCGAAGAGCCGCCATTTCCAAAACGCCAGGGGTTGACAAGCATGCGCAAGGCATAATTTTGCACGACGTCAACACTGTTGTCAACAGCCTGGGAACACAAGTCCCACCCCCTTCTCCCGAACAAGGGCGGTCAGAAAAGGTTTGGTAATCCCACCACCCAGTCAATCCCACCGTTACTGACCACCTTCCCAGGCCAAACGTACCGTTAATGACGACGACCTCGATGATACAAATACCACGCTGAACCAATCCGTCCCCCAGCCTGCAGCCGCCAGCTCGGAAGACAGCCAATCGCCCCAGAAAGTCGAGCAACAGTCCCCGATTGAGGCTGACCCGTTGGACTGGGACCCGTTCGAGGTTGACCTGCCTCCACAACCCGATCGCTCTGTGGCCCACAATCTGTCTTCATCCTCGGACGACAGCTTCGTTCATCAGACTCCTGACCAAACCTCCTCAGCCATCGAAGAACGTTTTAAACACTACGAGTCCCTTGACTACAACAACGTTCCTGCATACATCGACGTTCCTGCGTCGAACATCAGCAGCTCTGCCCAAGACACACTCACAAGTGCGTTTGCCGATCCATTTACTGCGCTAGCCGACAGCAAAGGACCCAGCATCTTGTCACCAGCTCCAATCCAGCCTCAGACTTCCACAATGGCTTCAAATTCCAATCACCCGCAACCGGAGCCACAGGCAATGCCGTCCGCCAAGAGACGACGCATCACACACCCCAATCCTCTTCAAATCTCTCCTGCCAGGTGAAGAGAGTCAAGCCTCTTTGGTTTCGGGAATTCTACAAAGCTTATGCGATCTTATTCCACATCGCGCAGTGTGTTTGGCACCTAGAGGTCCCGCTACAGACGCGACCGCCGTCATATCCCAGACGCAGTCCAGGATACATGGTGTTTTCGATCAGAGTCCGAAAGAGGCGGTGGTTATCATGCCACTCCGAACAAACCATCATTGGGCTCTGGCCTTTGTGAGGGTCACAGGCCAAAAGCAAGTCGTCATAGAAAATTACAATGCAGCAAGCGACCAGGAGCTTACCAAGGAGGCAGAGGGTCTGATGTGCAGCCTTTTTGATGTGCCACAGGACAACGACACTGCGCTGCCTAAGCTTTGCCCAAGAAGCTCGTGGAATTCCATCAGCCGACACAGTGTGTTGCAAGTGGACCATCAAGACTCCGGTGTGGGTGTCCTGATTCACAGCCTCTACGCTCTCGCAGCTACAAGCATTCCAAAGGAAGTCGACTGGCTTCTTTGGCGACGGGTTCTGGCTGCCTACAAGAGCGCCCGAGATTCGCCCTTGGCTGCGGGCGGCAGTTCCACACATCTGACTCCGCCGGGTGACGTATTGGCCCAGCTTCGACGGGAGCATGCAGACTCTCTTGGTACTCGCAGCGGAGTCCGTGTACCGGTACCAGCCGACTCGATCATACGTCGTGCGCTACTTGATGATGCCAACTGGCTGTCTGTGTCAAGCGGTGAGGCTCGCGCCCTTGACGCAGCGCTCGCCGAACTGCGGGCCAAGCTTACATCTGTCCCCGACAAACTCAAGGCCAAGGCACATCTAGCCAGGCAAACCATGTACGACATCAACACTCTGGTAGCGGTTTTACTTGGACAAGCAGCGGACAAACCAGGCCCAGCAAGCAATCATCTGGAGAACTGTGAGAAAGATATGCATAAGATCAAGTCACTCATACCCCTCATGCGCGGCGGGAAGATGGCGAAGGAGAAAATGCAGGCTGCTTTGGAGACCGCAGAAGGGGCAACCAGGCTCGCCGCAGCCCGCAAAGCAGAGGAAGAAAATAATCGCCAGCGCAGCATCCAAGGCCTCAAGGCGATGCAAGACGAGATCCAGAAGATTGAGCGAGAGCTCAATACTGCCGGTGAGGAGGACTCTGATGAGCATCAAAACGACGATAAGATTGACCACAACGACTTGCCCGGCGAAGATGACGAAGCTGACCTCAACGACTCGGCTGACATAGACAGCGATGACGATGACGAACAACCAAGTCATGATGAAGAGCTAACTGATGACGAGGAACCAAGCGATGGTGAAGAGGAGAGGGACGATGCGTAGGCATATTTTGGGCGTTTATCACAAGGCTATGGAAGTGGTGCATGTTTATCTACGGCATTTGTACTTTGCGATCCGCAGTTTAGAACAAAAGACCGTCAGTTCAATTCACAGCTTGGGGGTTCTCCCCCTTCCCTCCATCGTAAAGCCGTAATCATCGCCAAGGGTGCTTTCGGCATCGACTTCTGCCCATATTCTCGCTCCCAAGGGCCGCGCCGTCCACGTTCTCAACCTCGACCCAGACCACTAGCCAGACTTGACCATCGAGTGCTCTCTGGTAGATGCCGCTGCGTCTGGAAGTATTCGTCATTTGAACTGCGATGTAACATCCCAGGCTGACCTGCGCGCCGTGCTTGACTCCATCTCGCGCATCGACAAGACCGGTGCGGATGCTGGCGTCTCTGGGGAATTTGAGACCTTCTACAACGTCTTCAACGTCCACATCAAGCTGACCAAGCCCGGTTGCGGCGTCCTAGATGCCAACCTCCGTATCCTGCCCAATGTCAACAAGCTCGCTTCAAGCTTAGAGACTCGGGGGGAACCTAACCTGATCACCTCCACATCAGTCTCGCCGTTGCCTACTTAGCTGCATCATCTGAGGCCTCGCAGGTTGGCATTGATGAAAGGGTGCAACAGTATTTATCCCATCTACATGGTCATTGACAATATGAATACCTGTGGTGCGTTCTGAGATCAACAGACACACCTTGGTGCTATTTTTCCTGCCATCATCAACGCAGCTTCCAAGCCCGAGTTTCTATCAGTTAGATCTTCCTACGGATATCATTAACAAAACTCAAGACCCGTGAACATCAAAAAAATGAGAAATTTCTTGCTAGAATGCCGATCAGCATCCCTTTAAGAGCGACGCTGGCTACGCACCGTCAGTGGCCTCTCCAGCCAACCGCACCACGACGCATATCCTCAATAAGCCTTTGTAGTAAAGTATCCAGCAGGAGTGCGTTGAATACGTCTTTGCGACGCGCCATAAATGTCTCGCCGGCTTTCACCCTGCATGACGAGTCTTTGAACAACTCAACCCTAAAGGCGCCCGTCACAATGTCAGCATTTATCGCGCCTGTTACGAGAGAGATGACGCGCACCCCCAATGGGAAGAACTCAAGTCTCATTGTCTCGCTCAAAATGTCGCTAACGTGCTGGCGTCGCAGATTTCCATCCGCAGATTATAGAGGTGGTCAGAGATGGTGCACAGATTGACGAGGCATCGACGGCCAAAGATTTGCGTCACGCGTGGAGCAACAAATAAACTTACGTCAAGGAGGAAGCCCCTCTCTAAAGTAGGGGCAATGTTATAGGCGCTCAAGGCGTCAATGGCGTAGTTCAGCTTGCCACCAGCGAGGGCGTGTATCTCTGCAACGGCGGCGTTAGTGGCCAAACAGTCGATAACATCGTGTCAGAGAAGAGTTACATTGGGAAGGCTGACGATGTGATTTGTCTTAGACAGCATACGGCCGTGGAAAGAAACGCGGATGCAGCGGCCCTCGAACTCGAAGACAAGCTCGGAGCCGATTTCGCCGGCGCTGCACATTTTGATGAGCATAGATTGGGTGATGGCGACAGAGGCCAGGTTGTGTTACTCTCAATGTAGGGACGGCTAACACGTCTTTACTCAAGTGAACGCAGGGTTGATCGTACATTTGCTTGCAAGCAGGCTGTGAGTTCAGGCAACATTCGCTCTCTATCTGGACCGACTCATCAAGGGCAACTCCAATGGTAAGCCAAGGGGGTCAAACGATCCTCCATGCTGTGCCTCGCTTGAGCATGCAATGCATGCATAGATGCGACAACTAACCTTATTCCCTGAGGTCTTTCGGCTTTAATCCACTCGTTCTGGGTCGCTGGCCTGGCTGGTTGACGCCTGGTTTAGAAGGCGCCGATATTGGTTGTTCACCAGCGGAAACAGGCAGAACCAACGAAAACTGCAGCAAAGCAATCAAAGATGCAGGGTTGGGGACAAACACGGTGACAGTACGATGTCGATGCGATACTGGTTTGTGTGTTCGGCCTCAACAAATCTGCGGACGAACCCGGTCTCCCGGAGCCAACGGCTGAACACACGGGTAAGACCTTCAACGAAGCATGTTGTCGACTCTGAAGTCAAGCACGATTTTCCCAAGTCGTCGACGCAAAACTCCCGGGTATCTGATGAAGTCAAATGTACATCTCATAAACCATAGTCCACAAGTTGTCAGACAGCTGTCTGCCTTCTCTGTGAAGCAAACTGCTTCCGGAGCGCCGACCTCATCGTCTCCATTTTGTATGAACCTGTCTACCTTTTCTTTGTTTTCCAGCCTTGCCTACGCTTTCTCTCGCTTCGGTTCTCCTTATGCTCCTGTTAGGCACAAGCTGTGCCAGCGGACGCCAAGGTCGCTCCAACCGCAGCGCTCTCTCAAAGTCCGTTAACACGATTCCCTTGACCACCGCATTAAATAGCATATTAGGTGTTCGGCCGTCTTTGCCGAGAATGGACTGCATGCGGTGACCGCATTGCTGCCTTTTCAAGTTGTGCCTGTCCAGCATCTACCGCGTGGAGGGCTAGCCATCCCCACGACAGAAATATCATGAGTAAGACGTAAACTCGGTGGCCTCAGCAATAGATCCGGTTTATTAACCTGAGGTTGACTTCCCCGAGAAACAACAGCACATACATGCCTTGAATGTGCTGTAAGTATTCGTAGACAGCCGCCCCGTTATGAGCGTCCTGGATGAATCCTTCAACCGTCCCCTTGCTTGCTCACAAGTGTGTAGCCGGATTCAAGCAGAATTACCTTGAATAACACGCCGCATGTGCCACCCCTTCCTAGCCGCTTGATGCCCATTTCCAGTATCCGCTGGTGTCGCCTCGACTGAGAAATTCTGCCCGATCGATTCGGTGACAGGTAACTGTACGGTTTAGGCTGCGAGGGCCACGGTGGGCACCACTGCGCTTCCTCTGTGTATCGACACGTTCGGTCACGTCGAATCGAGACTACCTCTCCTCGCATGTCCCAACAGGCACTCTTGGTGCAGTGTGGCCTTTCTTGGTCGTTACTTCCACCTTCTCCGCCCCCTGGCTGACGCGCTAGAACTCGTTGACTGCGTCAAGTTCCCTGGCCACCCTGAGCATGAGGGATTGCTCGGCGTGTCTCTCGTCCCATGGACATTGGCGTGTTTGGTACATATCGTCTCGACTCATCGTTACATGACTTCTCGGGATCCCGCTGCTCGCTCCTGGGCGGCTCGTCTCTTCCATGATCCCGCTTGCTCCGCCATTTGCCCTGAAGCAAGTAGTGAGGTCTTTCAAACCCCTTGTACATCATTGGCGGGTATCCTGGCGAGCTGACTGTTGCCCGCCGCTCATCGTCCTAAATCGATCGCGGTGTCGTCTCGAAATCTTCCAACCATGTCTTCGGCTTCTTCACAGTATTGTTCCGTTCGTCCTGTCTGTGTAGCTGTCACTGACCTGGCAGTCCTACACCCATCAAATTGAAGGCCAAGTATCGGCCGACGGCTGTTAAACAGTGGGAATCAGTTGCACATCCGTGGCAAACTCCGTCAGATGTTACAGCAGCGTCTTGGGCTCTGTCAGGTCGACCCTGAGCAACACAATTGGCTCGCCCCTCGTTAAGAGCCCACACATGTAGTGGTAGGTCTGCGCTATGGCGGCCACGGTAAGCCTTTTGGCGTGATGCTGAAATCGCACGACCGAGTCGACAGATGTCAGGATCTTCTTCCGATTAACCACCTCCTCATACATATTCATCGATCACAAACCGAGACGGAGATGGGGGGCAGTTAATTTGTGAGACGGCTTATACCCAAAAACGTAGAGCATGGTGCGTTCTGTCGGGCTCGTGTTTCTGGATCGGTAGATGCAATGTAGATGTAGATCTGATCGGCTTGTAACTGCTCCAGGTCGAGTGGGGTGTGGCGTGGTGTCGAGGGCGGTGTCGATGGGTTCCCGTGGCGGACTACCTCTTCGGCGGTGTCGCTGATCGCATGTGTGGGGTTCTCGAATATGATGCCGTCTCCTAGACCGAACGCGCGTTTGACTTCTTCCACGTTCTTAAGCTCACTCATGACAGTTCCAACCGATTGTTTGACGCTATCATACAGAAGGCCCTCGAGGACTTTCTCATCGCTGATCTTGCGCTTCGGGATTCTGGTTCCTAGACCAGATAAGAAACAGCAATTCTCAAAAAGGTGTCTACCGAAGGGAAAGCTTCCGTAGAGCATGCCGAATGTGAGCTCCTGTAAGTACAGGAAATCGTCCCACGGAACGATTTGTGGGGCACCATTTGTCGCCCGGGTTGATGACAGGCCCCTCAGAGGCCAAGTTGCAGTCTGTTCCGACGTCGGGGCGACAAAAGACAAGGGAATAACAGGCAGAAATGTAATCGTGGAGCATTGTGGGCTACGTTTGTTGCTGTTCTTCGCCTCGCTCCTCCTCTGCCCCTTTCGCTCGTGCTTCCGCCTCCGTCAGTCGCTATGTCAGCGTTTCGGTACTTCTTGACATATCGACCACGGCGCTGGTGGTTGGTGTAGAGAGGAGGCGTCGATTGACGTGACAGGTCTGGGATGTTGTGAAAATGCAGCGGCCCGCGTCGATTCGAATTATTACTCTGACAATTTCGTTAGGCGACGCTGTGTGGGGATGTCAATCAGCGCTCGGCTTACCTTACGCGAAAATATCGGCCCCACACCGACGAGCCACGGGCCCGTACCCGTGGCGGACCCGGAGACGCGTGCTCGCTGCCCGAAAGACGAAAGTTTCAACTGGGCCGCGAAAGATGGGGGTAAATCGGAAAATCGTGTCTGGGGTAATTTAATTGAGATGGAACAGACGAGAGCTTGGCCCTTTTAAGCCATTTGGAGTGGACCAAAATCCTCTGGATTAGGGAAAACGACGTGATTTGGGTTGGGATTTCAGCCCCCGGAGCGGGTCGATCTCGCAATCACTTTGCAGACGGTGATATCGTCCTGCCAAATTGAGTGCTTGAGGATGCATATTGCTTTCCTTGAGAGTTGTGAGTATTAGGCGAAAAGGAGTGGGTAGATGGTTCAATCGGCGTCGCTAAGGACCCAATTGCCAATCACGTCGCAAACTGGAACATCGCCATCTCGACACATGAATTTTCCCGGCATCGTCGTAGCGCCGCAAAAGGTTATCGTCCGACGCGAAGCATCTGTTTCCTTCGTCGGAGCACTGAGAAAGGGGAGACGCCGGGATGTAGAGGTTTGCTGAATTGAAGGTGTTGGGTTGTCGTTCTTCCCTTCTAACTTTTCTTCCGCACTTTGCCGCCTGGAGGCGCACCTTGTTAACTGCCGGATAACTCTCACGGGGAAATATTCGAGGGCCAGGATGGCTCACAGAGAAACCTCTATGGTCATAAAGGTGTTGGGTCGTATTCAGTCTCTTTGATGGCAAATTATCCCGGGTTAATCATGCTCGCTCTATGAAAGAGTCTGTTACATTCCCTTGGTATGCAATTCCCAGGCTGAGTTCCTCGGCCACTTGATGTGATTCATTCGCATATGATGTCTGTACTCTTCAAGAGACTCCATCTCCTCAAGCTGTGGACCATCTCGAAAACGGTAATTACGCCATCTTACATCGCTGCGACGCAAAGCTCTTTTTCCCTCATGATGGCTCGAGAAATTGTCGCTACTGACTGTGAGGCCGCGGCACTTAAAAGCTGAACCTTTCAAACCAGTTATCAACGATCCAATATGGTATTGACACAGCTGGAGGACGCAGAGAAAGAAGGCAGATTCAGAACGCTGTTCCATGTCAGGTTAAATTCGACGCTTGATGTGGGTGTGATTCCACTTGACCGTCTTCAACGCCACTCGCCTCCCCCCTGACTTCCCATACTGACGTTTTGGAAAGTGTATCATCAACGTTCGCGAATCTGTTGTCATGCTGATCTTTCTTGCTGTAGGTCTCCATTGTCAAGCGTCGAATCTGGGCCCGCTTGTCCTAAATCCTTGCCTTGTTTAGAATGATGCCATCGTTCCTGCTTACCCCGCTGATGGACCAGCCATTGGCCTCCTTGATTCGGCGGCAAGCTATCCCAAATTTCGTGAGATTTTTCCTTTATTCAATTTGAATCAACTGTGAGAATGATGTAGGCGGGAAGTTCGTCAAGCGGCTTCTTCATATTTTCTTCGTGGAAAGAAGTCTGTGGACTGAATGAGTCTTTTCATCTAGATAAGCGCCGTGCAAGACAAGGAATATGATTTCCTGGGTTGTAGTTTCATCAAAAACAAAGTAAGCAACATTTCTCATAGTCCAATCTGCCAGCACTCGGTATTAGGAGTGCTAGCTTATGTCAATTTACTGCTCGCAACTGGTTGCACTCGGAGGTCCTCATTTCCGGAAAAGACCTGGCTTCCACGCTTCCGCCAACTCGTTTCCAGGCTTTGCCATACAAGTAATCTCTCAACGTACAACGCTTCATGCCTTCATTCTGAGACAAGTTTGAGCGGTAAGATTTCGGAAAACCGGAACTATCAGCACTGGCTCCCCTTATCGCACAGATTGTACTG